TTACACTATCTATTGCTGACTGATGAGGGGGAACCAGAGTCTTTTGATGAGGCCCTACAGGTGGAGGATTCAATCAAGTGGGAGCAAGCCATGGATGATGAGTTGAGGTCACTTGAGAAGAATGACACATGGGTGTTGACTGAGTTACCTGCAGGGAAGAGAGCTTTGCTGAACATGTGGGTGTTCAGAATCAAGACTGAACCAGATGGCAAAAGAAGGTTCAAGGCTCGTTTAGTGGTTAAAGTATGTTCACAAAGGAAAGGTATTGATTATGCCGAATATTCTCTCCTGTTGTGAAGTGAACCTCTATTCGAATTCTGTTGAGTATTGTTGCATCAGAAAATTTGCATCTAGAGCAAATGGATGTAAAAACAGTGTTTTTACATGGAGATCTGGACAAAGAGATCTATATGCAGCAACCGGAAGGATTTGTGGTTCCAGGCAAGGAACACATGGTGTGCAAGCTCACCAGGAGCTTGTATGGACTAAAGCAAGCACCAAGGTAGTGGTACAAGAAGTTTGACTCCTTCATGACCAAGAGTGGATTCTGCAAAGCTGAAAAGGATCCTTGTTGTTACTTCAAGAAATACACTGATTCATATGTCTTTCTACTCTTGTATGTGGATGATATGTTGATTGCAGGATCTAGTATGAGAGAGATTAACAATCTGAAGACAAGGTTGTCTGCAGCGTTTGAGATGAAAGATTTGGGTCCAGCAAAGCAGATTTTGGGGATGAAGATTTCTCGGGATAGACCTGCTGACACTTTAAATCTATCTCAGGAGTTGTACATTGAGAAGGTGCTGAGCAGATTCAGGGTTAATGATGCTAAACCCAGGACTACTCCATTGGCAAATCACTTTAAATTGTCAAAGGAGCAGTCACCCAAGACTACTGAGGAGCGTGATTACATGGCACTTGTTCCATATGCTTCAGCAGTTGGCAGTTTGGTGAATGCTATGGTCTGCACTAGACCTGATATAGCACATGCAGTGGGAGTAGTTAAAAGGTACATCGCGAACCCTGGGAAAGAGCATTGGGAAGCTGTGAAGTGGCTTCTGAGATATCTGAGAGGTACATCCACTACTTCACTTTGTTTTGGCAAAGGCAAGGTGACTTTACAAGGTTTTGTGGATGCTGATCTTGGTGGGGATGTTGACTCGAGCAAGAGTACATCCGGGTACATTTACACCATAGGTGGAACAACAGTGAGTTGGATGTCCAGGCTTCAAAAGTGTGTTTCTCTTTTATCTACTGAAGTTGAGTATGTGGCAATAGCTGAAGCTGGGAAAGAGATGATATGGCTGGCAGATTATCTTGAGGAATTGGGCAAGAAGCAAAGCGAGAAGATTTTTTACTACGATATCCAGAGTGCCATACAGTTGGTGAAAAATCCTGTCTATCATTCGAAGATAAAGCACATCAGAAGGCGATACCATTTCACTCGCAGGGCAGTGGAGGATGGTGATATGTACTTGGAGAAGATAGAGGGTGCAAAGAACCCGGCAGACATGTTGACGAATTGTGTTGATGTTGGGAAACTGAGGTTATGTAAAACCTCGGTTGGTCTTCTGTAGTTGTTGCTACAGATGTTGCGGTGTGGTAAAGATGTTGATGATGAAGAGATTTTTTTGAGAATGTATTTTTTGGATGACTGAGTCAGTCTCCAAGTGGGGGAATTGTTAGGTAGTGGAGCCTGATTAATTTTAGGTTTTCCTATTTATTCTCTATTTTAGGCTTTCCTATTTATTCTGTATTTTAGGTTTTCCTATTTATTCTCTGTAACCAAAAAATACTCTGATTTATTAATATAAATATACCTCACCGCCGTGGAAGTTTACTTATGGGATTTTACCACGAAATATTGGGTTTTCTCTTTCTCGCTCTAGATCTCTCATCTCTTTCTCTTGAAAGTTCTTGTGTTCTTTATTCATCTAGTGTGTGCGTGAATTCGATCCTAACAGTTTCTACTATTAGATTTCGCTCACTTTTGTGCATGTGTCTTTTCCATGAATTTCATGATTTTCTTGTTTTTGATATACTTTAATTACTTAGTTTAGATTTCAAATCCTCCTCTCTTTTAATTGATGAGCCTAATACACTTTCATATCTCTTCCTCTATTTAAATTCTAAATTCTAAATCCTAGATACGCATTTTTTAATTCCAGTCCTAAATTCTTTCGATCGGTTACTTCTTATTTACACTCTAGCTATATTGTATTTTTGGATCAATTTTCAAAGTTCCTTGTTAAACCACGTGGGAAGGAGTTATTTCGTCATAATCACTTACACCCACGAAAATGAAATACCTCTTCAGGTTTTTCTCAATTTCACACCTGAAATATTTTCCTTTATAATCTCCAAATCTTTTTCTACGTTAAAGAATATACAAGCTCAATTTTACCACATACAAATATATTTAAACTTCAAATATATATAGTATTGTCACATACCTTCTTCATGAACACAGAAAGTCCAATTATTCTCCCTATTGTATACTTATAATTAAATCAATTGTTCTGAAAAAAAAATCAATACCCATAACTATAATACTTCATCATAATATATTTGAAATCCTAATTCGTTCATTTCTTTTATTTTTTTACTTTAATTTTCACAATGATGAAAAAAGTTAATACAAATTCATGGAATATTTCGTAGCTTTGAAAAGTCAAAGTTATCTTTGTATAGTTAATCTATATGTACGGATGTGTTATTACTATTATATATGTATATATTTATAGACAAAAGCAAATAGATTGAATTAGTCTATGCAGTTTATCAATCACAAATCAATAGACACACACAAAAAAGCACAGACTTGAAAATTATTTTTTTTTATCGTCTTTATCAATAAAAGTGTATCAAATAAAAAAATATAAGTGTAAACCAACAAAGATTAGCGATTGAACTATACCCCACTCACAATACTTATAACCCGGATTAAACTTTTCAAAAGATGCATTTTACAATTGTGTAATTTAAGAAAATTGATGTATTGAACTTTTTCATTTTTAAAAAATTGTTCGAATTCGTTGATTTTAATATCTTTCCCTAGACAATTAATGAATGGACTCTGTCTATCTCGTATGAAGCACTTTTATCATTTATTCTTTTTGTAAGTTGTCACTTGTAATTATATATAAATAATTGTAGCCAAAAAAATTATTAAGTTATGAATTTTTTCATGGAAAATAGTTGAATTATCCACTACAAATTTTAAGTTGTCGCTATTTAACACCTTAAATATTTTGTGACAAATTTTTATTGTCACTAAATCGTAGATTGATTAGAGACAATAAAATCTTTGTAACCAATTATTAACATTATTAGTTATTAACATTATTAGTGACGAAAATAAATGTCATAGTTAAATCTAATTTTTTTTAGCTAAAACTTATAATATTTAGCTATGAACTCTAATTTGTCGATATTGTAGTAACATATTTTTTAGACGAATCTTTTTGTGTCCAAAGATTAACAAATTTTAACACAAAAAATAATTTGTCATGAATTAGATACATTACTAGTGACGATATAATGTGTCACCGATAATTTTAAATTCACAACTAACACTACATAACAAGTGGCTCCAATAAATTTTTGGTGGGAAATATTAGTGGACAAAACACAACTACTAATTTTTATGTTTTGTCACTAGAAGTATGTGTCTCATATACATAAGCACAAAAAATAAATTTTATCACTAAAAATAAATAATTAATGACGAATTTGATATCATAGCTAATAATTTTTAACAATATATCATATTTATTGTAGTGTTACATGGAGTATATATGCTTGAACTTGTCATTTGTCTCCCTTGTACACATCAAACCAGATTCCTATTGTCTCTTGACTATTACTTCATTCATTGATCACCACCTACCAATTTATTGATTGTAGTGTTTTTGTAAAAAAATAAAGTATATGAAATATTTTTAAAATTATTGAAAATTTTCTCGAAAAAAATACTTTATCATAAACATTATAGAAAATTCTGATTATTTTAGGCGTGTTTGGCAGTACGAGCAAAAGAACATAAATAGAGTGTAAATTGAATAAAAAATGTTCTTTCAATGTATAAATTAATGTACATAAACTGGTATTTAAAATTTAATTTAGAATTGTACTAACGAAATGACTCATTGCTAATATATGTTATAATAGCCAAGAGTTGGAAAAAAAGGTCAAACAAAACTATTTACGACATTTAATAGTCGTAAGAAATATGTTAGAATAATTAACATATTATATTCATCAACAAAGTATAGTTAAAAATATGTATATGTAACATTTATTACTATGCAATTTAAAATTTTAGATTCTATTTTCCTTTTCTTAAAATTATATATAGCACAATCTTAATTAAATATCCTCACACTTTCAAGTATTTCATAACAAGGAATAACTTTTTCATAAAAATTTCAATTTTGTAACATATAAATTTATAAATTAAAATGTCAAAAACTTCATCTCTTTATTCCTCAAGAAAAACCTTTTGTATATGTAGAGAAAATATTCACAAATGTGACCATGATACTTTTCACATCTACTCATTATTTATACAAAGTCTTAAGGAATTTGAAAAATTAAATCTAAAATTTAAATGCTCAGAAACACAAACAAGTAATTTCTTAGTGTGTTCAATTTCAACACAAATTTATGCATACAAATATATCATTTGCTTAGTCAAGTTTTCGTTAGCAGAATTATCATTTCTCCAAATCTTCTTTAATATTGAGAAATCTATTGGCTCAATTTTCCACATACAAATAAATTAAAACTTTAAATATATAATATTGTCATATACCTTCTACATAAACACAAAAAGTCCAATTATTCTCCAAGTTAGAAGATTTACATGGAGTGTGCTTGAACTTGTCATTTGGCTTCATTATACACATCAAATCAAATTCCCCATTGTCTCTTTACTATTACTTTGTTCGTTTGCCTGTGTTGATCACCATCCTATCGATTTTATCGATTAGTAGTATTTTTGCCAAGAAAATAAAGTATATAAAATAATTTAAAATCATAAAAATCTTACACAAAATACTTCATCACGAATATTTTTTACAAAACTCATAACTTGGTGTGTCCATCATCTACTGCCAAACACAAACAAAAGAACATATATAGGGTGTAGATTGAATAAAAAAATTCTGCCTTCAATGTATAAACTTAACGTAAATAAATTGGTAATTGCAAATTAATTTAGAATTGTTTTGTAAGGAAATAACTCATAGTTGATATATGTGTTATAAATAGCGACGAGTACAAAAAAAGGTCAAACACGACTATTTAGGACATTTAATTATCATTAGAAATATGTTAAAATAATTAACATATTAAATATTCATTAAAAAGTATAATTAAATGAACCTAGACATAAGTATGAATATTTTCTTTTGAGATCTAAAATCATTTTTTTCAATAATTTTTAAATTAAAAATAATTACTCGATCAACACCACAAGATTAGTAAATATTTTGTTGGTATGACCAAAGTATCCTTCTCAAGTAGAGGGTGATGAGGATATAACAGCAATACCTTTACCTTTCTGTTAGTTTTGTTAATCCAATAGTTAGTTACAAATCACTAGCTGATTAGTTTCCAATAATTAGGTAGAAGTTAGTTGAGTTGTTAATCCAAGTGTATATATAAGTTCACATTGTATTCATTTTTCAACTAATACACTATCAATACAATATACATTTTTTCATTCTCTCAACATATGCTCTCAAGATCAAGCTTTCAAGCTTGTTGATGATCATCAATGGAGTTGAATCCATGATGATAATCTCTTCATGGTATCAGAGCGAGGGGGTCAAATTGTTCATCTGTTTCGAAGTCGAATTGTGAGCCAATTTTGTTGTTGTTATCAACTGGTTCGATTAATTGATTGATAGGTTGTATTGTGAATTGTGAATTCCTTTTTTCCTTTTGGTTTCTTCTTATTCTTTCTTTCTGATCAAGGAGACACACTCATAGTTGGAAATTAGCAAAGTTTTAGAGTGTTTTCGTGTTAGATTTCTCACAGATATTCAAACACAATGACTGACACTCAAGTTGGAGATGTTGCTTCTAGTTCTAGTTCAACCACATCTCGTCTGGATTTTTCAAGTCCTTTTTACCTGCATCCTTCAGAGAATGCGGGATCATCATTGTTACCTGGAGTTTTCGATGGTACTGGTTACAGATCTTGGCGAAGAGCAGTCCTCAGAGCATTATCAGTTAAAAGCAAAACAGGTTTTATTAATGGAGCAATTGTGAAGCCTGTATCTACTGATCCTAACTTCTTGCAGTGGGAAAGATGTGATGATATGGTCACATCTTGGATCTTGAATTCCTTGTCTCCAGAGTTGCGTGATAGCCTACAGTATGTGAATAATGCCAAGGAGTTATGGGCAGAGTTAGAGGAAAGATATGATCAAACAAATGGATATAAGTTGTACCAGTTACAGAAGGAGATAAATGAGCTTGTTCAAGGTACTTTAGATATCACTAAGTACTACACAACAATGAAGAAGTTGTGGGAGGAGATGAGCACAGTTGACATTAATTCTCAATGCACATGTGTATGTTCTTGTGGAGGAAAAACAAAATTGCAAAAGGATGAACAAGATAGAAGATTAATACATTTTTTAATGGGGTTAAATGAAATGTACACTACTGTTAGAGGTAGTATCCTCATGATGAACACTCTTCCTAGCATGGCTCAAGCCTTTGCTATTCTATGCCAAGAAGAAAAGCAAAGAGAAGTAAAGCCTCATAATCATACAGCCTTAGACTCTACTTCTCTTAATGCTTATGGACAATACAATAACAATGCAGGTTACAAAGGATTCAGAACAAACTATAGTTCATCCAAAGGGGCTGCATCCAGTTCTGGCAACAATATGTCTAGAGGGAATTCAAGTATTAACAGGTCCACTTTAGTATGTGATTATTGCAAGAAGTCAGGACACACGAAAGATAGATGTTATAAACTTCATGGATATCCATCCAATCCAAAGTTTCAAAGGGGAAAAGGAACAAGTTCTGCAGCAAACATGTGTGCTTCTGATATGAATGCACAACAATCTGAGGAAGAGACTTAAATGGGAAATCAGAAGCCAATAAACTTGTCCAAAGATCAGTATGAACAACTACTTAACATCTTGGGAAGTATACAAACTGGAAATGGAGTTTCTAATCCTGATAACTCAAACAGCATGATGAATGGGGCTGTGAACTTGGCAGGTGTACTTGCTTGTTATTCCTCTATGAATAATATAGGTGATCTTTCTTGTGAATGTGTTAAGCTGACTGCTGGCTCTTGGATAATAGACTCAGGAGCATCACATCATATGACTTATGGTAAAACCACTCTCACAAATATTAGAACTCTTCCATACCCTTTCTTAATATCACTTCCAAATGGTTACAAGGTTAAAGTGACTCAAGTTGGTGATGCTTGTTTAAATCCAATGTTAACTCTAAGCAAAGTGTTGTTTGTACCTAGCTTTAAGTTTAATCTCATCTCTATTCATTGTTTAGCACTACAACTTAATGGAGTCATCAGTTTTGACAAATTTTCTTGCTTATTGCAGGCCCTTCTCTGAAGAGCCCTCTGGAGCTTGGTAAGGCCAAGAATGGTCTATATTTCTTGTGTCAAAAATGTCACAATTGTTGCATGTCTACTGAAGAAAAGTCATCTCATTATAATTGTCATCTTGTCTCAAAGTTTCACAGTGTATCTTCTGTAAGACAATCTCAAACTTCTACTGCAAATAAAGCAAATTGTAACACTATGTCTTCTTCTCATTCTAATGATAAATGTCTTTCATTTGCTGATGTCTCTAGTCAAACATACAATGATTAGTCAAACATACAATGATGATGAACTTCTATGGCATTCTAGATTAGGACACCATTTGTAAAGATGAGGAATATAACATCAATACCTGTGAACTTTCCTCCTAAACAACCTTTTACATGCAACATATGCCCTATAGCTAGGCAAACTAGGATGCCATTTCCAGAAAGTACTTCTATAACTACCAAAATATTTGAATTACTACATGTTGACTTTTGGGGACCATGTCACATACCTACTCATGATGGTTACCATTATTTTCTTACTATGGTTGATGACTACAGTAGGTCTACTTGGACACAATTACTAAGGTGCAAAAGTAATGCCCTTCAAACCATTAAAGCTTTTGTGTCTCTTATAGAAAATCAGTTTCAAACCAAGTTGAAGGCCATAAGATCAGACAATGGTTTAGAGTTTACCTCATCTGAAGCTGTACAATTCTTTCAGACCAAAGGGATTATACACCAAAAGTCATGTCCATATACACCTCAACAAAATGGGGTGGTAGAAAGGAAACATAAGTACTTACTTGAAACAACAAGAGCACTATTGTTTCAATCAAAATTGCCCTTGAGATACTGGGGAGAGTGTGTATTGACTGCCACATATATAATAAACAGATTGCCAACTAAACTCCTTCAAACAAATCTCCATATGAGATATTATACCTTAAACAACCTACCTATTCTCATCTAAAGAGTTTTGGTTGCCTTTGTTTTCCAACTGTTTTAAAAACTCACAAGGATAAATTTTAACCAAGAGCCATTCCTCATGTTTTTGTTGGTTATCCATTCAATACAAAAGGATACAAAGTCTTAAATCTAGCTACCAAGAAAGTTCATATATCCAGAGATGTTGTTTTCCATGAAAGAATGTTTCCTTTTGTTCATGTTCCTGATGATGACTCTAGTTTCAGTTCTGTTTTAAAATTGCTTACTCATTCTGTTAACATATCTTGTATGCCTGGAAAAACAAACATATTTGCTACTGATGAAATGCTGGACAATCTCACACCACATGAAGTCACTGAAGACCAAGTAACCAATACTACTAACATACATGAAACAACATCTGCTGACTTTACAACACAAGAACCACAAGAACCTAGAAGAACTTCCAGAACAATAAATACTCCTAGTTATCTGGAGGATTATACATATAACTTACCTAAACTACATTCCCTCAATACTTTTGTCTCTGACAATAACCATGTATGCTTCAATAGTCTTTGTTCTGATAGCCAACAGTTAGTGACAACTATTTCACATGAATGTGAACCTAATACTTTTGAAGAGGCAATATTGCACCCTGCTTGGCAGCAAGCCATGACACATAAATTTGAAGCCTTACATGCTAATGATACTTGGGAAATGGTCATATTACCTGATGGAAAAAAAACTATTGGTTGTAAATGGGTATACAAAATAAAGCATAAGGCTGATGGAAGTATAGAAAGGTTCAAGGCAAGGCTGGTAGTGAAAGGCTATACACAACAAGCTGGAGTAGATTACAATGAGACATTTTCACCTGTGGTGAAGATAACTACTGTTAGAACATTAATCTCATTGGCTGTTAAGAAAGGCTGGAACTTGTATCAACTAGATGTGAATAATGCATTTCTGCATGGTGATTTACATGAGGAAGTCTACATGGTACCTCCACAAGGTCTTACAACAAGATGTGATAACATGGTGTGCAAATTAAAGAAATCTTTGTATGGGCTAAAGCAGGCAAGTAGGCAGTGGTATGAGAAGCTAGCAGATAGTCTATGTTCAAGGGGGTATCAGCATTCAGACAGTGACTATTCCTTGTTCTACAAGAAGAGGGGAAGTTCTTTAGTATTTGTTGCTATATATGTGGATGATATAATCATGACTGGAAATAATGTTGATGAGATCATTTCTTTAAAGAGTTTTCTGCATGACAAATTCAAAATAAAGGACTTGGGAAAATTACATTACTTCTTAGGCCTGGAAATATTGTACAGACAGGATGGTGTTATTGTTTCTCAGAAGAAGTTCACTTCTGATCTTCTAAAAGATTTTGATAGTTTAAGTTGCAAAACTACTTCATCACCACTTGATTCGACTGAGAAATTGAAGGCCACTGATGGGGAGTTGTTGACTGATCCTTCTCAATATAGGAAGTTGATTGGCAAGCTCAACTTCCTAACTAACACTAGAATGGACATATCCTATAGTGTACAACACTTGAGTCAGTTTATGCAATCACCCAGGGAACCACATTTGAAAGCAGCCTACCATGTGCTATGATACTTGAAACAAGATCCAACTATAGGTATCTTTATTTCAAACAAGGCTGATCTTACTGTAAGTGCATATTGTGATTCTGATTGGGCTGCTTGCCCTGAATCAAGGAGATCTGTTAGTGGTTACCTAGTTCTTATGGGAGATAGTCCTGTCAGCTGGAAATCTAAGAAACAGGAAACAATGTCATTGTCATCTGCTGAAGCTGAATACAGGGCAATAAGGCAGGTTGTGGGAGAACTAGTATGGTTTGAAAGGTTGCTGAGTGAGTTGAATGTGTAGTGTTCTCTACTAATACATGTTCATTGTGACAGCCAAGCAGCAGTTCATATTGCCAAGAATCCAGTTTTTCATGAAATAACAAAACATATTGAGATTGATTGCCATTTTGTAAGGACCAAGCTCCATCAAGGGTTAATCACACTTCATCACATATCCACAGATTCACAGTTGGCAGACATCCTTACCAAAGCTTTAACTGGAGTTAAACACAATTCTTTGTTGCACAAGTTGTCTGTGTTTACATCACCTCCAACTTGAGGGGGGCGGTGATGAGAATATAACAACAATACCTTTAACTTTCTGTTAGTTTTGTTAATCCAATAGTTAGTTACAAATCACTAGTTGATTAGTTTCCAATAGTTAGTTAGAAGTTAGTTAAGTTGTTAATCCAAGTGTATATATAAGTTCACATTGTATTCATTTTCAACTAATACACTATCAATACAATATACATTTTTTCATTCTCTCAACATATGCTCTCAAGATCAAGCTTTCAAGCTTGTTGATGATCATCAATGGAGTTGAATCCATGATCATAATCTCTTCAGAGGGAAAACAATAGAAGACTCCAGAACATGCAATTAAGCTCTACATATTAGTTTTAGTAACCACAGTTGAATTTTAGGTGCAAAAATGTCCAAGTTCTCAAATATCTGAATTACTGCTATTACTGGAGACGATTTAGATTTAGTGAATATAATGTATCTAGAATAAATTATACATATCCTTATATCATGAGATATATGTTTGTAGATATATCTGGATGCATCAAAATTTAATAAAATTTGTACTATTACAAATCAAAAAGTATCTAAATATTTTAGTCCAAATTAACTAATTAAATTTCTGTAAATTTTTTAATAATGTTTGGTTACTGAACCTTCTTAAAAAAATCACAAAATAAATTTCAAGTTCAATAGAGTAATTTTAATAAGTTTTCAATTGAATATTATTTTTCTCACTTACAAAGTTTCCACTTCATTCTGTTTAAACCTAGCTCGATTTCTAAATAGGGGTATATATATATATATATCTTATTTTAAAAGATTTCTTATTTTTTCAAAAAAAATATTATACTTTAATGGGATTTTTCATACTAGCACTCTCTCCTAAGACCACACATGCAAGTTTTCCATCATACAACTCAACTCACGAGGTTTTTCCCGCTCACGCTTTATTATAATTAAATTAAGAAAAGACATAGATTCTCTTTTAAAATTTAGTTACTCACTTGAATTATCATATCGATTTATTATACATCTAAATTACTTAAAAGTAAATTTATTCACTCCTAAACTTGAAATTAAAAAAATAACAAAAAAAGTAACATGCGAGTGAGTCAGGAAAATTAAAGTTTAAAAAAGCAATAAAAAATAAAAACCCTCCTTACCCTCCACAACCTCAAAGCATCACGACAAGATAGTGCGGTGGTGCTGGTTGTTGCAGTTGTTTGTTAGTTGTTCAAATCTGAAAGTGCGAAACTCATTAAAACGTCATCAAAATCGGGACTGGTCTATTTGAGTTTGTCAGAATACCTACAAAATAAACTAAAAAAATAAAATAAAAAATGGATAAGGAAAAAGGGCTTCATTTGATATTTGTTGATGATTGATTTGAGGTTTTGATTGGTTGTTTTCTCTGGTGGTTTAGGTGGTTGTTTGGTGGCTACTAGTTTTTAAGAAAAGAAGAGAAA